GATGATGATGACAATGGCGATGAGCATCATGATGTTGTGGATATGCATGAGGATGACGACGACTGTGACGGTGACGACGCTGATGCAATCTTGATCTGCTGCTTTTCATGATGCCAAGACCCAACCCTGAGACGCAACCCTCGACTCCAAGAACAGAAGGTTGCAAGCCCACCTCGCCGGCAAATTGCTAGCGTGGGCCCATCGTAGTCGGAAGCCTGAAAAGAGCTTTAGGCTCGACAGAAGCCTCCCACGTCGTCGGCATGTCCACCGACATCACATCATCGCAACCAAGCCTCCTCACCACCGCCAGCATCAAAATTCCTAGTGCTGGAATCCCCGCAGGTCAGCACCGTTACCATGCACATGTTGCTCATCACCATCGCACCAGGGCTATCATCATCACTTGACCATCCTTTCCACAACAACATGACACACACACAAAGCTTTGTTACAACACCTCTCTATACTCTAGGTGCCGCTACTGCTGGTGTTGTGCTCCAAGATCGAGAGTCATTTCTTGTGACCTTTCAGGTGTCAGCTTGGATTCTGCAAGCCCGATTCTCCTGCTCCTCAAGTCGAACTCAATCCAGAACCCTCAAGTCTAAACTCTTCAGCAAGGTGATGGAACGGGACGCTCCTCTCAGTATAGAAGTTTTGGCTGGATATTGCGATCTTGCAAGTCGCAAGTTCGGCTCCAAGTTGGATTTTCGGTGATGCTGGAAGAGACGAAGTCGCAATCCGTGGGTCTGGCCTGTGTCTCGTAAAGTAAATGCTTAGGGCTGAATTGGCCAGTGAAAGACTGTTTGCCGCTCAAACGGCTTGAATCTGGCTTGGTCCTTCTTTAGACTTCCCTGTCGCAATCCAACATCGTGGTCTTGGCCCTTGCGTTCTAGAATGTCACACTTTGGTACATTGAGTTCATCCACTTCCCATGGTGGAATGGAGTGAGGCTCCTCAGCTCCATCCCTACCGCAATCAGATCCCTGCAGCCCACATACCCCAAGTCACCAAGTGGTGTCGCCGGCCCTGAAGTTCTTTGAGCCCACATCCATACTTCCCAAACATCCCCAAAGCCTCAAGTGCTTCTGAAAAGGCCTGCAAGTGCAGGCCGCAGCAAGGTGGCCCTTATGCCGGCCATGGCGCAGGACAAAGTCAAAACTCCGTCTTGCTTGAGCTGGACATACAAGTTCAGGGCTTAATCTAGGAGCTTCAATACTTGGATTAGGGTTTTTATGCTATTTTGAGCCCTTGCAGGCTGCAGGCTTCTATGTTACAAGCTCAGGGCCTAGGCTTCAGCGCATAGGCTCTGAGTTTGACGCCTGACATGTGTAGCCGCGGGCTTGGGACAGGACACGGCTGATCGATGCTTTGGTGCTTAGGTGCTGCATGCGCAGCTCGAGAAGTGCTTGGAGACAAAAGTTCTCCTGGAAAGTCAAGGATAACTACATCTTGAGACACGTTCTTCTGATGCTTCCTCGTTTTTCGAAGATCGGGCTCGGACGAGCAGACGTCTCAGCGGCCGCAATCTGCAGTCTGCCACAAGACCCTTCCTAGGACCCCGGTCTGCTCAACTCTCAACCCTAAACCCTGCCTGGCGGCTAAATCCATGGACCCTTGGCAGGGCATCCAACATACGCCTAAGCTAGGGGCAGCTAGGGTTGGCATGAAGTATCAGACTTCAGTCACAACACATCTGAACCATCTGATCCAGCACAGCAAAGAACGATCACTTCGCAACCGCCACCACCCCTTCCATCTAGAAACTTACAAGCTGAAATTCATATTCAGGGGAGGTGGCTCCTCCCGTTCAAAGACCTGTATAAGGAAATCATAGTAGAAAAGGGTCCAGATAAGCCCAGAACACGCCAAGTGTTTCGAGCCTGATTCATAAAGGCACTAAATGGACACCAAAACTGACCAAAACGACTTCAAACTGCAAATTATGTTCCAAGCCCTTAGTCACTGCCCCGGGCCGCGAGGGGTTCCGGAACCTCAACGGTCTCGTCGCCTCGAACTTTCTTCGCGCGACCTGCGCTTTGCTGTGAGAGTCTGGGGTCTGAAAGCACACCATCGTTGTTCTGTTTTTTGAAGGAGCAGATGAGCAACGGCAACAAAACATAGGCCAAAACATGTAACATACGCGTGTCTGAATGAGCATATTCGTGTATGTATATGTATGTATGTATGTATGTATGTATGTATGTAAGTATGTAAGTATGTATGTATGTATGTATGTATGTATGCATTAATGTGTATATGCGTTTATATGCATATGCATCTATGATAGTATGTATTTATGTTTACAATTGTGTATATGTATACATGCATATATGTGTATCTATAGGCTATGTGTATGTATGCATGCATGTATGTACGTACGTATGTATGTATGTATGTATGTATGTATGTATGTATGTATGTAAATGTGCAAACTTACAAGATCACAAAGTTATATATGTCAACATGCATACATGTACATAGGAATATGCATGTTTGTGTATATGTTTATGTGCTGGTATCGGTATTTGTATATGTATGTGTGCATGTGTGTATGTATAAATATGAAAACTACATACACACATACATATGCATTTGCATATGTATGCATGCATGTATGTACGTATGTATGTACGTGTGTATATGTAAGTTTGTATTTATGTATGTATCTATGTATGCATGCATGTATGTATGTATGCATGCATGCATGCATGCATGTATGTATGTATGTATGTACGTATGTATGTATGTATGTATGTATGTATGTATGTATGTGGTGTGTATATGTATATATGTATATACGTGTATGTATATGTATATGTATATGTCTATATGTTTAGCTGTATGTATACTCTATATATATATATACATACATATAACTATATACCATATATATATATATATTTCTGACCGAAGCTGCAAGTTCAAAAGCGCCGATTGTTTTTCTTTGTTTTTTTTTCTGTGGCTCCTTGCAAAAACTCTCTCGGATCCTCCTGGGTAAGCTGCAGCTTCTAGCTATATACATACAGTGGATGTCGAAATCGGATCAGGACAGAATGGCCTTAGCCTTCTTAGGAATCTTGCCAGCAGCATCCTGGTGGGCGACTGCTTCATCAATCCGCTCAGCGACTTGGGCCTTGTGGTCAGCTGTCGGCTCCTTGATGGCATCAAGGGGCGATGCGAGCATCCTGGAGCCAAGTATCCAGCTCCTGCAGAGCTGTTTGCAGGTCCGTTTCCATTGTGCCGGTACCACCGGCATGTGCAGTGCGGGCCTGCAGATCCTTGAGCTGGGTCTCGATCTTTTCCAGCTTCGTCTTGCCAGATTGCAAAAATGCCAACCTGGGACTTGAACTCCACGAGCTCGGGGGTGTTCACTGTGACAACACCTGCGGATCCTGTGGCCTCGTTGAGGAGCATGTTCTGTTTGTCCTTGTCATTCATCTCGAACCCGCCCTGGAGGGTATCAGCCTCCATGGTCACGTTCTCCGTTTCGGCATGCTTCCTTTTGCCATAGTGATATCTCTTTTCCTTGTTTTTTTTGAGGGCCCTTTCCCTCGCTGAGTCCTCGTCCCAGTCGTAGTCAAGAGGGGTCTCCTGCAAAATCGCGAGCAAGATCTTGTCATCAACTTCCAAGTTTTCCAGCTTAGAGATCTCGAATCCTTAACTGCGTTCATGCAAAGGAGGCATGCAGAAGATCATACAATAAGGATAACTTAAGATTGCATGCCTCCTATAAATATAGATCGACACATGATATAAAACTGCTATATTAGCATGCAGACCAGGTGCAGGTCATGAACCCGGCCAAGGTCCCTGACGTGCTTTTCGTCTGGGTTTCGTACGACTTAGACTTTTGAGCCCATGCTTTGCCTGTCTTTGTCTGCTTGCCATGATGCAAGCATCATCATCCGCTCGTGGTGCGATGATCTGTCCAAATTTGTATATTCCCGGAAAAATGCCACCTTTGACTCCAGGGCCTCGACCTCTTTCGGGGTTAAGGAGAGCTTACCCTCCTTGTACTCCTGGAGTCTCTTCAAGTTGGCTTTCCCCTGGGTTGTCAAATTGCTTTGCATCTTCTTGACATCGGCGGGATCCACATACTGCTCTCCCTGCTCCTGCTTCACTGGCGAATCTGCCGGTGCGGCTTTAGCCTTAGCCTTGCTCTTGGCTGCTTTCGGTGCCGCCTTCTTCGGTTCAGCAGCTTTCTTAGGCGGCATGAATGCAACCGCCAAGCACGGGAACCAAGAGGCCACCCAGGACATAAACAGTATTGCAGCAAGACTACAAAGCGGGAGCCTGGAAATCGACTGGTGCGAATATCGCTCGAGCAAATCACCTCGGAAGCAGGCTTGGAACAGCATATCACCCTATACCAGCAAAGGCTTAAAAGTTACAAAAAATTCGGAGTTAAATCGGAGTTAAATTTAACTCCGGTTTAACTTGGGATGCAAAACGAGATAGAATGTAAATTTAGAAGTTAAATCGGAGTTAAATTTAACTCCGATTTAACTCCATTTTTTACACCCTCCTCAATTTTTCTAGGAGGTTGTAAAAAAATCGCAAACATATCCTGTTGTAGGCTTGGGTTCGGTACTACAAATTGAAATGGTAAAATACTTGTCCTGTACATACATACATACATACATACATACATATATATACATACATACATATATGTATGTACATATATAATGATAGACATATAGATATACATATACATAAACATATATACATATACATATATATATAGATATACATATACATACATTTGTCGATCGTTGCAACTGCATGAGTTGTTCTTCTTCCTGGACCTAGCAACAGATATAGCTCGAGGCGGCTCGAGCTGCATGAAGTCCAACAAGAGGGCTCAGATAGATTTGACCCATGTTTCACCCAAGAAGAGATTAGCGAAAAGGTTGGGGAATTTGTTCCTGACCAATGCAGTTCCTGCTGCAGAGGCTGGCCGCTTGTTTCAGGATGCCGAGGCCAGTGGCAGTGCACACATGGATCGCCTTGCACAAGTGGGTGCTCGGAGGGTGGACAACCTAGCTGGACACATGGATGTACTGCAGCGGCTGAATGTCAATCGCCACTGGCCGGCTCAGTATGTTTTGCAAGCACCGCTGTGGAACCACAGGGAGCAAAGAAGAACAGGGAGACATCGTCATGTGGCTCCCTCACGAGCTCCTGTATTGCTTAGAGGACAAAGCAGCTCATCCTTCGAATCTCCGGAATCGGGGTGCTTTGCAAGAGCAGGAACGAGAGTTCCTCGATCGAGCTGCCTCCTCGCTTCAGGTAGGCCGCAGCGATCTCATCCTTGTTGGCCTATGGGGGGATGGAACCTTTCCATGAATGTCCTCAGTTGCAAGACAAGATGTGATACTAGGTTCCCATTGTGCATCGTGCAGAAGCACCTCATAGTGAAGAATGAGACCTGGAACCGTGTCCTAGACGTGGTCTCCTGGAGTTTTCGTTTCGTTTCGCTGCAGCAGGTGTGTTTCCGATATGTCGACACGATGGCTCGCCGTGGCATGCTTCAGACGGCTATCGTGCCCGCTTGCAAGGATCCCCATGTCCTCGAGCTCTCTTAGGGCAAGTGAGAGGTGGCTGGGCTTTCTTCAAGCAGGTGCTGTACCTGCCGGCGTACAGCGTGTCATCTGTGTGTATAATTTACACATATATATATATAGAGATATAAACACATGCATATATCTATAGCTGTGTATATATACACATGCATATTATATCATAAGGCTCAAACCCTGAAGCCAGGAACGAGAACCGTGGTTGCTGCTGGTTCTGCAACATGGTGCCCCGCGACAGATGCTGAATGGTTGAGGCCCGAGAGCCGGCACAGTCACTGGTCGGCTTTGTGCTCCCTCCAGGAGAAGTCTCCTTTATCAGGGTCTCCTTTTTCCATCTCTCCATAATCCAGCTGGATTGGCTACACGTAGTCGATCTGGGCATGAACTTGGAATTTCTCGGGGGCACATTTAAACACATCATCGACCATCATCTGGAGGGATCCAGCTTTGCCGACCGCTGCAAAAGATTGCATCGCGAGATGAGATGGTGCAGTACTACGATTGCCAACCGACTGGCAGAGCTCAAGCCGACCATGCTCAGACAGGACAAGCCGTTCGCCAAACTGAGAGCGAAAGCTGCCGAGGCTCGATGCCTCGTCCCCTTCGTAGTGGTCCTGTGCCAAGCTCTTTTAGATCCGACTGATGAGTTCGAGATGAACTTATTGGCCGCAGCCCAGGCTTTCGATGCTTGCTATAGGCAAGTCACCCCGGAAATCTTTGAGCAGCAGGACCTTGCAAATGCAGGGGCCCAGTTTGCCAATAGGTATGTCTGGCTGAGTGCCAGAGCAAAAGCCAATGATTGGAAACTGTTTCGCATCAAACCCAAGCTGCACATGTTCTGCGAGCTGACCTATGCAGCAGCAGTCTGCCCGTCCACATCGTGGACGTATCGTGACGAAGACTTCGGTGGAAAGGCCGCCTTACTTGCTGCCCGAAGGAGCGGCAAGAACTCCGCCGTTGCTTTGGGCCGGAGCTTTTTCAAGAAGTTCGCATGCCTGCACGAAGTGCCCTCCTTGTGAAAAGATCTTGCAGATCTGCATATATAGGACGGGCCGGTGATGCATGCCTGCATGCTTGCACATGCCTGCCTGTGCATGCCTGTATCGATCCGCAGCTCATCCAGAGATCCAGCTAGGGAGGCCTTTTCTTTGCACCCATGCCACGATCGAGCTCGCAATCGAGAAGTAGAAGTCCGACAAGACTCGCAAGGGCATGGCGATGGTGCTGGCTGAAGGTTGTCGACGAGCAAGGCAACGTCCGCTGGTCCTGGACATGGTGGTGGTTGTGAGTGCCACCGCTCGAGATCGATCATAATTAGACCTGCGCGATCTGCTCCAATTTCGAGCCACTCATATGAGCGAGCGATGAATTCCAGAGGTACGTCGCTCTTTTCTTGTATACATGCATGCAGGATCGATCGGATACTTGCGAGATCTCCAAAAAAAGGCTGCTCGAGCGATCTTTGCTTGCAAGGGCCTCGCACGATTCTAAAGAACCTGGCAAGGCATGCATTGCTGGTCTTTGAAGGTTGCGGATGAACATGTTGGCATGCAGTCTTCCGTTCGTGCAAGTGCTTTGAGCGATCGCATGCACATGCATGTCTCGTTGATCAAAATGGCTTACCAGGATGCCTGGCACGGCATCCTGTATAGGAGGGCATGCACTGCATGCCTCCTCATGATCCTTAGGCTTAAAAATTATCATGACATGCTATACATACACACATATATATATACACACTTGTATATATTTTTTACATGCACACACACAACGATACATTGTTTTTATATATACGATCGAGTTAACAACGATGGCAATTCCAGGGCCATTGCATGATGATTGCACAGCCGTTGCTGTGGGCCGGAGTTTTTTCAAGAAGTTCGCATGCCTGCACGAAGTGCCCTCCTTGTGAAAAGATTGTAGGTCTGCATATAGGACGGGCCGGGGCATCCAGCCTACAAGATGGTGCCCTACATCGACGACGGTGCGCCGGCAGCGCTCATCTATGCCGACGTGTTTTGCCAAAGTTCGACACAAGGCCGGCCACTTCCCGGCGGAGGTGTCGGTCAAGCCCGGCACCAAAGGCAAAAAACGGATGGGGTTACGTCGTCCGGATAGGTGCCTATATCTATATCTATATCTATATCTATATCTATATCTATATCTATATCTATATCTATATCTATATCTATTCTACGACTGCGGCACGGCCCCGGCGGAGTTCCTGGACCTCTTCACGGCGAGGAAAGCCTTCATCTATGTGCTGGAGATCCTGGCGCAAGTGCTGGCGTTTGTCACGTTGGCCCGTCGGCTCCCACAGCGGTGGCTGGCCTTCATCGACAACGTCGCCGGCCAGTGGGCCCTGACGTACGACAGGCTACGGAAAAAAAGGACCCAGCGGTCAACGGCATGCTGGCGGCTTTCTGGTCCACCGCCGCGCTGGCCGACTGGCTCCCCGACTTTCGTCGGGTGTCCAAAGCCAACGTCTCCGACGCAATCTCCCGTGGTGACTTGAAGATGGCGCGGCGTTTTGGGATGGACCAGGGTCCAGACGCCGGTGCAGAGCATCCTGCGAACGCTAGCGAAGGCGGTTCGCCGTGAACGCCGCGGCGGATGAGCTGGTGAACTTAACAGTGCAATGTGGGGGCTGGCGGCGCAGAGTGGGAGTGGGGAGCACCAGGCAGGATGCCGAGAGCGTCGAAGGCGACGGACCCGGCGCGATGCGCTTCATACCACTCAAAAATTTTGTCCGTCGTACCATTTTGGAATGCACGTGGGGTGTCGAACTTGTCCCGGTTCGCTGCAAAACATCACAAGCACCCGAAAAAACAACAAATGGAATCTCTAAGCCAGGCCTATTTGCCTGCATCTTGTGAAGACATCTCGACGGCCTTGTTTCGGCGAAGAACAGCTTTGAAGTAAAATTTGGTGTGTTTTCGCAAGTAGGGGTTGATGTGCAGGGGCGAAGAACGCTTCATCACGGCGTTTTAATATTTTTGCTGTAGCATTCAAGCTCTCGTGGCTGCAAACCTGAGGTGTTGGAATCTGAAGGTCCCACGATTCTCGATGCCGCCGTGATTCCAGGAGCAGCTGCTTGCGCAGCTGCCCGGGAACAGCTCCAGATATTTGCAGTGTCGCCTGGTCGAGGCTTCTTTATGTTGGTGGATGGAAGTGGCCTGGCCGCATGGGCTGGACCGCACATTGGCACTTTTGGTCACCAGGAATTAGGGATTTTGGAATGTAGTTCCAGCTGCACGGGTGCAAGAATGCAGGTGGTGGGGCAGCTGTATTCCGCTGTCCGGATCCGAGCACCTCAAGCTCGCGCTCACCCACAGTCACGGTTTCCTCAGAGAGCGTGAACGCGGTGAAGCTGCTAGAGTCGTCTCTGTTGATGCGTACAAGACAGGCAATTGTCCGGTGCAAGTTGAACATGTCTGCAAAAGTGGAAGGGGTAAAGCGCGAGCTGATCTCCCGGGAAGTGATGCCTCTCGGGATGGATCCCAAGGCTCTGCTGAGGATGCTCGACATGCAAGGGGAGGACTAAAACAACCGAGCGAGTGCCGAAGCTACACAACCAGCAAAGTGTCACAAGTTAGCTCAAGCCAACCCTTACCTGCCGCAGGCTTTGTCAGCTCCTTGTCGCGTCCGCACTCCCCAAGCATGTAGCTTAAGCGTTCTTGGGGTCCTCTTCCCAGCTGGCGAAGAGCTCTTCCGGAGGGCTGCACGGCCGTCCCATGGGCCATAATTCGCTTCCTTCACGTTTCCTGGGGATGGACCCGGCGCTACTGTACCCGCCCCTTCTTATAGCCAAAAAGCAGCCTTCCTTGTTCTATGAACAGGGCGATCATGTCAGATGTTGCCATATCTCCTCGTCGCCATGGTCGCTGGAAATCATGGGCCAAGCAAACTGGCAGGCTGTGCTGCAGCGCCACGATGCTGCGGCGAAGAAGACTTTATGCTAGCACTGCGGATTTCCAGCTTTGGTCTTAGTGCGTAGGTAGGATTTCCTGTGATTTAGCAATCACCTGGGGTGAACGTCCCGATGGTCATCGAACTTTGCCTGCAGGTCTTTTGGAGGATGTGGGTCCACAGGCCATGAGCACGAACAGCAGCCCCCCCCAATTGACGGCAGGTGGATTCAGGTGGATGTGGGCTGAACGCCTGTGGAAACTAAATCACGTACTCACTGAGGTTTGTGAGTCAGGAAGTTTGTGAACATCCCTCCAGGCCCTACGAAAGACTGTAGCAACTATATACGCTGTCCTGGAATATGAAAGTCGTTGCGGAGTTCCATGACACTCAGATTCCACCAGACCTCATGCCTCTTCCACTGCATGCATGCTTTGAGGGCCTGTATACTGCTGTCTTGTTTCAATACCCCTGCCTCAGCTTGGCTTTGCAAGTTCAAGGCTTGTTAAGATGTGCTTGTAGCTTACCCACTTGCGACTGTTTAAGGTTGCTGGCATACTCTCTCAGCTCGGGGTCTCAACTTTGACAGGATTGATGTTCACCATATTTAAAGCATGTGGCAGCAACTCCCATGCATGCCTGGACCATGACAGCCCATCTTGACCTAGTTCGCACATGTCGTTTCCAGATTGTTGGGGGAGTTGTGCGGGCCGATGGCGACTTGGAGTGGGTTCATTCGCAGAGTGGCACACACCCCCCAGGCCCGAGGCTAAAGAGGTCCAATAGAACAGCTCGAGCGTTCCAGAGCAGGTCCACTCACGCTGGGCAAAACCTGACAGGTGCATCTTGCTCGTCCAGTTTCCGTATATGATCGTATATGATCGGCTGAGAAGCAGAGAACAGTTATGCTGAGTCCACAAGCATGCAACTGCATGCTTTCGGGCAAGACAGCGGTACCGCGCTGAAGGTGCTGCTACTTGTTCCATCGTGCGGTGCCAGAAAAAGGCGCTTGAGCGGCTTATCTTTCTGGGTTTTGGACAATGGCCAGAGTCTGACCAAGAGTGTCTGGACAGCCTTCAGTGATTCGGAGAGAAGTGTGCAACAGGAGCTTGGACGGGAAACTCTCTGTTCAGTGTCATGCCCAACCAACTTTGCACAAGCATCTCCACTGCATGTTAACCTCACGCTGCCCTCGCAGCTTGTACGGATGCGATAAAGCTTGGACGTACTGATTGCAGGCCACTTTACTTCAGTTCATATTGCCCTCCTTCTGCAAGTCTGCCCGGAGCCCATGACCGGCTGTGGCTAGTCTACTTCCTTGGTCAGAACCCCTCCGCTGATACGGGTACAGGGACCATGTTTGAAATAAGTGCAGACGAGAATCTCCCGCAAAACGCCAATGAAACTTCTCGCATGGCCTGCGCCTTCGACCCTGGAAGAACTATGTATCTCATGACGTCTGTATGTGCTTGGAGAATTGACCATTCACAGCTGCAGAACGCGAAGCCAGATCACGGCTGTAGCATGACGGCAGCCATTAAGGTGCAAACACCTCCTTTGCCTGTGCTGGGACGAAGTGCCATGGTCCGTTCACTCCGGCGTCCCGGAGCTTTGCCACTGCTGCTAGCTTCAACTTCAGAGCGTGCTAGCAAAGAAGTGACCCTAAATTTCAATGCACAGTCAGCGGAATCAAACTCAATCCAGAACCTGTCTAAGGTTCACCTGTGCACCACTTAATGTTGGTCTCAGTGATGATGACAATGGTGATGATGATGGTGATGATGGTGATGGTGATAGTGATGATGATGATGATGACGATGATGATGATGATGATGAATTTCACGCGGCTCGCATGCATGATGCTTCCCCAGCCACAAGAAGTGGGATGTGCTGACCAGTGTCCTTAAGTTTTCATCTGGCAAGGCGGTCCCTTCGACACAGGGGAAATAATTGACGATGAGCGTGTTCCATGCCAGTGGTACTTGCACAGACCGGAATGGAAAGAAGTTGGCCCGCAGACTGAAGCAGAGGCTCGTACGGAGCACGGACGAGACCCGAGGCTGATTACAGTAGCGTGTGGCGGAAGTGGAAGTGGCCTAGTCTGCAAAGTGCTTTTGCATGCTCTGGCCACTCAAGTCCTTGACCAAGACTTTGCGGAGACTTTGCGGCGCAAACAGACACAACGATCCCTGCTAGGCTTCCGATGAAACGTTTTTGAAGACCGAGAGATCGAGAGCTCACGAGAAACAAAACAGAGAGAGAGAGAGGGAGAGAGAGAGAGAGTAGCCATTTTGGCTCAAGTCTCGGGAAATGGGGGACCCGCCCCCCCGTGCCCCCCGGGGCTTGAGCCACACGCCGACGCCGTTTCTCAGACGAGATCTCCCCTCTCCCTTTCAAGTTCGCACGCCTCTAGGCCATGGGGGGAGCACACCGCCCGATGCGCCCGCTGATGGG